TTTGTCGATCCTAAGGATGCTAAAAGGTATGCTAGCTCCAGCGATCCTTTTAAGGACTGGAGTGAGCATCTCGGAGTTGGAATGTATGCTTTGATGATGATCAAAGATTTTGGGTTTGTACAAAGTTTATGAGAAACTTGTATTTCCAAAGAAGTGAGTAGGAGCACTATAGAATTTCTGATGAGTATATGTTGTTGACATATTGATGATCAGAGATGATGTAGAATTTCTAGAAAGCATATAGGGTTATTTTGAAAGTGTTTTTCAATGGAAAGCCTGGATTAAGCTACTTGAACATTGAGCATCAAGATCTATAAGGATAGATCAAAATGCTTAATAATACTTTCAAATGAGCACATACCTTGACATGATCTTGAAGGTGTTCAAGATGGACCAGTCAAAGAAGGAGTTCTTGCCTGAGTTGTAAGGTATGAAGTTAAGACTTAAAGCTCGACCTCGACAGAATAGAGAGAAAGGACGAAGGTCGTCCCCTATGCTTAAGACGTAGGCTCTTCAGTATGCTATGCTGTGTACCGCACCTGAAGTGTGCCTTGCCATGAGTCAGTCAAGGGGTACAAGAGTGATCCATGAATAGATCACAGGACAGCGGTCAAAGTTATCCTTAGTAACTAGTGGACTAAGGAATTTTCTCGATTATGGAGGTGGTAAAAGAGTTCGTCGTAAAAGGTTACGACGATGCAAGCTTGACACCTATCCGGATAGCTCTGAGTAGAGAGACCGGATACATATAATGGAGCAATAATTTAGGATAGCTCCAAGTAGAACAGTTGTTTGGAATAGCTCCAAATAGAGCGTGGTAACTGCATCTAGGAGATGACATAGAGATTTGTAAAGCACACATGGATCTGAAAGGTTCAGACCCGTTGACTAAAACCTCTCTCACAAGCAACATGATCAAACATAAAACTCATTGAGTGTTAATCACATAGTGATGTGAACTAGACTACTGACTCTAGTAAACTCTTGGGTATTAGTCACATGATGATGTGACCTGTGAGTGTTAATCACATGGCGATGTGAACTAGATTATTGACTCTAGTGCAAGTGGGAGACTGTTGGAAATATGCCCTAGAGGCAATAATAAAAGTATTATTATTATATTTCCTTGTTCATGATAATTGTCTTTTATTCATGCTATAATTGTATTATCCGGAAATCGTAATACACGTGTGAATACATAGACCACAATATGTCCCTAGTGAGCCTCTAGTTGACTAGCTCGTTGTGATCAACAGATAGTCATGGTTTCCTGGCTATGGACATTGGATGTCGTTGATAACGGGATCACATCATTAGGAGAATGATGTGATGGACAAGACCCAATCCTAAGCTTAGCACAAAGATCGTGTAGTTCGTTTGCTAGAGCTTTGCCAATGTCAAGTATCTCTTCCTTTGACCATGAGATCGTGTAACTCCTGGATACCGTAGGAGTGCTTTGAGTGTATCAAACGTCACAACGTAACTGGGTGACTATAAAGGTGCACTACAGGTATCTCCGAAAGTATCTATTGTTTTATGCGGATCGAGACTGGGATTTGTCACTCCGTGTAAACGGAGAGGTATCTCTGGGCCAACTCGATAGGACATCATCATATGCGCAATGTGACCAAGGAGTTGATCACGGGATGATGTGTTACGGAACGAGTAAAGTGACTTGCCGGTAACGAGATTGAACAAGGTATCGGTATACCGACGATCGAATCTCGGGCAAGTAACATACCGATAGACAAAGGGAATTGAATACGGGATCGATTGAGTCCTTGACATCGTGGTTCATCCGATGAGATCATCGTGGAACATGTGGGAGCTAACATGGGTATCCAGATCCCGCTGTTGGTTATTGACCGGAGAACGTCTCGGTCATGTCTGCATGTCTCCCGAACCCGTAGAGTCTACACACTTAAGGTTCGATGACGCTAGGGTTATAAAGGAAGCTTGTATGTGGTTACCGAATGTTGTTCGGAGTCCCGGATGAGATCCCGGACGTCACGAGGAGTTCCGGAATGGTCCGGAGGTAAAGATTTATATATATGAAGTCCTGTTTCGGCCATCGGGACAAGTTTCGGGGTCATCGGTATTGTACCGGGACCACCGGAAGGGTCCCGGGGGCCCACCGGGTGGGGCCACCTGCCCCGGGGGGCCACATGGGCTGTAGGGGGTGCGCCTTGGCCTACATGGGCCAAGGGCACCAGCCCCAAGAGGCCCATGCGCCTAGGGAACCCTAGAGGGAAGAGTCCTCGAGGGGGAAGGCACCTCCGAGGTGCCTTGGGGAGGATGGACTCCTCCCCCCCTCCTTGGCCGCACCCCAAAACCCATCTAGGGCTGGCCGCCGCCCCTAGGGGGTGGGAAAACCCTAAAGGGGGCGCAGCCCCCTTCCCCCCTATATATATTGAGGCATGGGGCTGCCCATAACACGCGATTTGATCTCTCGTTGGTGCAGCCCTGCCCCTCTCCCTCCTCCTCTTCTCCCATGGTGCTTGGCGAAGCCCTGCGAGATTGCCACGCTCCTCCACCACCACCACGCCGTTGTGCTGCTGTTGGATGGAGTCTTCCTCAACCTCTCCCTCTCTCCTTGCTGGATCAAGGCGTGGGAGACGTCATCGGGCTGTACGTGTGTTGAACGCGGAGGTGCCGTCTGTTCGGCACTTGATCATCGGTGATCTGAATCACGACGAGTACGACTCCATCAACCCCGTTCACTTGAACGCTTCCGCTTAGCGATCTACAAGGGTATGTAGATGCACTCCCCTTTCTACTCGTTGCTGGTCTCTCCATAGATAGATCTTGGTGTTACGTAGGAAAATTTTGAATTTCTGCTACGTTCCCCAACAGATTTATGGGACCCCCTTGACAGTTCACCTTGAATAAAACTCCTCCAGCAAGGCCCAACATTGGTTTTACATTTGTCTAACAACCTAAGCCTTTTTCCCTTGGGTTTCCGGAGCCAGAGGGTCATCTTTATTTTAGCCCCCCCCCCCCGGCCAGTGCTCCTCTGAGTGCTGGTCCAAACCGAGCGATGTCCGGCGCCCCCTGGGCAATCAGGGTCTATGCCAACCCGACGTCTGGCTCATCCAGTGTGCCCTGAGAACGAGATATGTGCAGCTCCTATCAGAATTTGTCGGCACATTCGGACAGTCTTGCTGGTCTTGTTTTACCATTGTCGAAATGTCTTATAACCGGGATTCCGAGACTGATCGGGTCTTCCCGGGAGAAGGAATATCCTTCGTTGATCGTGAAAGCTTATCATGGGCTAAGTTGGGACACCCCTGCAGGGTTTGAACTTTAGAAAGCCGTGCCCGCGGTTATGTGGCAGATGAGAATTTGTTGATATCCGGTTGTAGTAAACTTGAAGTAAACTCTTCTAAAATGCACCAACTGCATGCATAACCGTGACTGTCTCTTTTCGGGGTTGTTTGAGGAGAACACGGTTTTTGGGTTATGTTTGACGTAAGTAGGAGTTCAGAATCACTTCTTGATCATTACTAGTTGCCGACCGTTTGCTTAGCTCCTTTTCTCGCTCTTGTTTCGTAAGGTAGCCACCATACATTGCTTAGCCGCTACTGCAACCTCACCACTTTACCCCTTCCTTACCCATTAAGCTTTGCTAGTCTTGATACCCATGGTTATGGGATTGCTGAGTCCTCGTAGCTCACAGATTACTACACAACAGTTGTAGGTACAGGTTTTGCGATGATCATGACGCGAGAGCGATGTTTACTTGTTTTGGAGTTCTTCTTTTGCTTCTTCGATCAGGGGATAGGTTCCAGGTCGACAGCCTGGGCTAGCAGGGTGGATGTCGTTTGAGTTCCTGTTTGTGTTTCATCCGTAGTCGGATGTTGACCTTGTGTATGATGTATTAATATATCTTTGCGGCATTTGTATGCCTTGTATGTATCCCCATCTATTATGTAATGTTGATGTAATGATATCCACCTTGCAAAAGCGTCTTCAAGATGCGCTTCTATCCTTGGTGGGACCTTCGAGTTCCTTTAGGATAGGGCCGCATCTTGGGCGTGACATGTGCAAGAGCCCAAGTTTGATGAGTTGATTGGATGCACTTGGCATTCATGAACCTATGCTAATGAACAAAATCTGACATTTGTAAATTTTATCAAAATATGGAGCATGAAACTACAGAGACAAAATTATAAATTATTTCAATTAACCAATAATTTAAAGCAAGCATGTTCAAAATATAGCAAGGCAGGTCATCCAATGTTAATTGTGCCAAGAACTTAATTTTTTTAATCAGAACTTGATTTTTCTTAGATGAAATTGTCTCCAGTGTGTATGAAGCATGAATAAATCAAGTTAAAAAAATGCAACAACTACACAATCAAGGATTCTAGTCAAAAATATTCCACATCAGCTAAACATCATTGCATCCGCAACTAATCAGAAGTAGTTATAAAAGTGCAGCAACTACACAAACATCTCAGCTCACAAACTGTAACCCTATTCACTGTTGGTGGTTGTGTGAAATTTCTGCAGCAAAGAGAAAAATAGTGACAGGGGAGAGAGAGGCAGTGATGACGTGCATCGTCTGCCCTCACCACGCAGCCTTGCAACATCTAAGCCAAAAACGCAGAAGCACACTGTCAATTCATTCCATTCTATTTTTGAAATTTTCACGACAACCTTGAAAAGAAATAGTGATTTGACTTCTTAAGTGTAAAGTCGAACTTAGTGAATAAAAACAAATATATGAGAAAGCAATAAACATTGCTTACCTCAACCAATGACGACAGGTCTACTGCATGGAACATGCCAAACGTGAGTGCGCAAATGCTTCCCTGCAGTGACATGGCATCACATGTAATATTTTTTAAGTTACCATATTCTTCCTTTACAAAATAAATTATGTACACCTTAATTTATGCACCTAAGGATGACATGATGATTCATGGGTAAACTATCACCAGCATAAAGTCAACTTTTTCTTATGACATTTATATTACAAATAAATACTCTATTCACCTTTAGGTATGTTGCATTTGCTGCTTCACAAGGAATAGTGGGAGGCTCATGAGCTGAGTACCCTGAGGGCACGTCCGAGTAGCCGAGTAGAAGAGCGCACGTCCAATTCCCAGTTTCACTACCACAAATTCGATAGATCGGATCACAATTTCAGTACCACAATTTAATACCGTATATCAGTAGAGAATCATATCCATTCCAGTTTCAGTAAAAAATCAAAATCCATTTTGAAAACAAGTGGAGGTATCTTAGTAAAAAAAATACCATATCCATTTCAATACAAAAATGAAAACAGATTTCGGCGTCCGATCCATCGCAATATCAATATTCAGTTGAAATTTTATAACTGTCGAGTTCAAAAAAATATTCTATTGAAATCTTATGGGGACTTTATCCGGTTTAGGAGTTGAGCCAAGCCTATATGTACCCATTTGAATATATTTTCAGATGAAAAACACCGAACTATGATAAAATAAACAATATTCAACGACCCTGGCTGGGAAATAATATCAATCCTTCCTTGTACTAAACAAGGTATTGAGGGAAAATAAATCTAAGAACAGAATGTACAGATTGGCAGAAGCTAAACATCGACTGCTCTATTAGCAAGTCTAAATAATTTTGAGAAGAAGTATTACCAAAGAGATGACTCTCCAGGCTGCCGAAGGGCATGTACTTGTGTAAGGCTGAACCAAAATGCAGGCCATCAGTACACTATATATACTGAGAGGTGGATAATGTAGGAGTATTGACACCTCAGCAATGAACATGCAACAATTTCATATTATCGACTTAAAGGTGTTGATAATAAGTACATAATAAATGAGAGGCTCAACACCGGAAAACTCGCAGATGGTAACAAGGAGGCAGGGGTTGTGAGCCTTGTCCCTGACGTCTCCACATTCTTCAGAGCATGCATATAAATTATAGAAGAAAAGTTTTGGTAAAAAATCAGAACAAACTAACTTTAGAATGTTGCAAATGTACTGGTGCCCAGTCACAATATATATGCAATTATGCACGAGTCTATGATTCTGCCGCAAGGATCAGATAGACAACAATTTGGAGCATGGTGTTGTGTGACATCTCACAAAGTGAATGAATGAATTTTCGATTGTTACAGAAAATTTCATATATAGATTTTCAATGTAAAAATGAACTTTAGGCCTATGTTATTTTTACATACATAATGTCTTTCCTGGTTCCCAAAGTGGTTCAGTAACCACCCTAAGTAAACAATCGAACATACCTTGAATCACTTTACCGAAAATATTGCACATCGGAAGTAAGTCCAGCCCATGTCTTATCAACTGCAAAAAGATTCCACAGACAAAACTTGCAAAAAAAAACCGGTCACCCTCATATCTACTGTTTCATATCAAGAATCTCCTCAAACATGTCATCAGACAAACCATTTTTGGTTCAGTTTGAAGGTACATGGCCAAAATGAAGACTAATGTTATATAAAAGGAAACAAATACATTATAGAAATGACATAGGAACACTATGCATGCTCAACAATGATATGGGTCTGACATATGGAGTTAGCAGTTTCCCTAAAACAACAATTTTCTGAATATTATTGTGTCGCCCATTATGCCCACAAAAGGAAAGAGAAACCTTATGTAAACAAAATATTACAGCGAACAAACACAGAGTTTTTCAGAAAAAGGAACACTTACCAGGAAACTTCCAGTCCTTGAAGAAAGGATAACCTTCCTACAAATACACCATCCAATGTAGGTTCATACAGTTTTCATTGTGCACAAATGATGCAACATGCAGATTCAAGCCAATGCGACAAAATGTCCAGTTAACTTAGAGCTATTTACATATCGTTTACTTAAGTAAAAAAACTCAAGTTATCTTGCTGTAGGCAATCTACTCAATGCTGATCACACAAATAATAATGTCCGGAAGCACTTAGGAACAACCAGACCACACAAGCATAAAATTGTGTAACCAAATAGACATCAGAGGGGAGGGAGCATTTTTCAGAAGTACCTCATTAAGTTTCACAGTTATTATGTGAGGAGTAAAGGACCAGATGAACCTACAAATCAAAAGAAATATCATAGTCAGCACAAAGATTGTTCGAAGAAGATGATCAAATTAAAAATCATGTAACTGAACATATAGAAGAATCTTCTTATAAAAAAAATCAGGAAACCGATCTTTTGTCTTATTATATTCAAAGAGCTCTATCTGAATGACACCTCTATATTGATAGGCTGCCCTGTGCATATAACTAACATAAAGCATATGTACACTTCCCACCTCCTTTGAATGTCTGCAGTACTGCATCCTATTTAATTCCTTTAGTACGTGGTTAAATACTTATAAAGTTAATGGTCACATGCCCTTTAAACGTGTGAATTCACATGTAAACCAACTAACCAAGACGGATGCAGCCAAAATTACCCAAGGCATCTAGTTGTTTCTTTTAGGGTTTAGGGTGTGCAAGTGTCATTGAGGACATAACCTGTCCACTGAATCTAATGGAAAGTTCATGGAATATATGCTTGTTCCCACGAAATTGGATTCGGACTCAGGTTTAAGACGAACTTGCATCGCTAGAGACTTCTCCAACTCCTTCAAAGACTCCAGCAACTTTTGCTCAGGGGCTTCACCATGCCACCAACTTCTTCAGGTGCCAACAACATGAACAGATAACGGGGTGGGAGGGGGAAGGGAACATAGATGGAGGAGGGAGAAGGGAGAGGAGAGAAGAGGGGGAAAGAGGAAGGGGTGGAGATACCTGTGATAATGGGGAGGCGGAAGTGCGGGACAGGAAGACTCGCCGCCGGCGGGCAGGATGAAGAGCTGGCGGCTCCAGCCCTAGCTTGCGCGTGAGAACTGCATCCTTCGCACACAACCAGGCCATCCATCATCTGCCATCGTGCTCCAGCGAGCCGGCGACCGAGGGTTGCCTGGAGCGGAGGTGGAGGCGACCAGAGCCAGCGGCGGCGCGACGCCGAGGTTGGTGTGACGGCGAGCTCGGGCGGTGAGGCGGCGGGGCATAAGCTGCAGGAGACGGCGGCGGGGACCTCGAGGCCGATCTTAGGCCATGGCTTCCCTGGCTCTAGAGGCTGTGGCGGCGCTAGACGGAGCGGCAGGGCGAGGAGGAGGCCGGCCGTCCGGGAGGCAGGAGCTCCTCGTCCCCTCGATCCAGATCGGGATCGAGGAGGGAGCAACAGGGGCGCGAGGGAGCGGGCGACCCGCGGGCTGCGGTCGGGGCGTAGGTTTATTTTCGTAGATTTTTTTCAGGTGCGGGTTTTTTTCGATCAACCGGAGGGTTTAGCACTGGACATCGTGGGAGCATACCGATTTTTATTTCCTGGTTCGAGGGCGGAGGGGGGAATCGAGGGGATGAGGGAGGTGGAAAATCCGTCTCTGGTGGGATGAAAATTGACCGGCGAAGACTACCAACTGCTCCATTAGGAGTAGAGATTCGGCCCCCTTCCTTTGGGAAGGGAGGCACTTTCTCACTTGGGTCTTTTTGGCCCAAGTTTCCTTCCACCTCTTGGCCTTTTAAGGCCATTAATATTTAAATTAAATATAGAATGTTCTAAACATTTTCAAAGCATTATATATATATATATAATTTAACATCCTCGGAAACATTTTCCACCTATATAAAAATAATCGGTAATACCCAGTAGTACACGATATTCACCGAAAGCCTTCCGGTGACCCCGAAACGCTTTCAGAACCTCTCGGAAGTATTCCGGATATCAATGAAACAATTCCACAAATATATTCTCATCACTCCTATCCTACTAACACTCAGCATATCATGATTACCTTAAGCTTGTGACTCCGGAGGTTCGGTAAATCATAGAGATGAATGAAACCCCTTCGTTCAATGACCGATAGCGAAATCGTGGACATCCATACCGGTCCCTATGATTACACGAATGATATTCGAGTGAACCTTTGGTTATCATGTGATGTTCCGTTTGCTTCGTGATACTTTACAAAACCTGGTGTGTATCGGTATCCTCCTGAGTCATCACCATGCTCACTATACCATTGCTCCCGTTACCGGTTTTGTTCTTCTTTCTTGTTGACGTGTTCTGGCATCCTTGTGACATAGTCACCTATGCCTGTCCAGGCGATGATGGATTTCGTCATACCAAGAGGGCTCTAAGAATATGTCTCCATTATCGGAGGAGCAAATCCCACTCTCGAGTTATCCGGTCACTTGTCAAACTTTCCGGTGTGTGCCTGAAAGTTGTCGTTATGATCACCTTGTTACAGATGACGATTGAGCAACTCCAAGGCCCACCATTCGGTAGGAAGTGATTGAGACAGTCTTATATATGGTCCGAGGAACTAAAACACATACTAACACTCCATGATACAACAGATGATTTCAGACGATATAATCACATAGTATAACAGACAAGTATTGGGCCGATTCGATATGATCGTTCTTCCAACGTCATAATCTCAAAGTTGTTTTAGGACTACCGTTTAACACTTTAAACGATACCCTAAGATCCGGAAAATGTGATCACCGACACACTTGATCTAGTCTTAGAGGCGAGACCGGGAACCTATTGTTACTGTTATCATTCCACACGTGCATATAAGTTTTCCACTGAATCGCATATTCCAGGATCATAGCAATTATAGCATGGAATATAAACTCTTAACTATGAATATGGAAATATAACAATACAATATTATTGCCTCTAGGGCATATTTCCAACACTGTGCGCCCACCTAACCCTGCTCAAATTAATACCGCCTCTTTTCCCACAGTAACCACACTCCCTCTAGTAAAATGACCGTCTGGGGCACCTAGGTGCCCAGACTCCTTACCTAGACTAGTATAATGCATGTGAATTTCCACGGGCTTTTGAAATATTTTTCTGGAGTTATGTGAACATCGTTGAATGCCCATGCTCATTGGAATACCCGTCGGAAAAAAACGGTGACATCCAGATATATCGTAATTCCAGTCGGGTTGCTTTATTTTGAGTGCGTCGTTGAATTTCCTCACAATCTTCATAATTTAACTAAATGCCTCAGATTTTTAACCTATGACGACTGTGATGTATGGATAGAGTCCAGAATATATGGACGGTGTGCATGTTTGTCAATGATATACAGGATGTATCAGCCGATGAATGCGTACGGAAGATAAATCTACAAGTGGTACCTATTAGAAACAATAAACCATCACAACAATGTACAAAAGAAATACGGGAGAACTGATCGAACAAATGCATCTGCTAGCATAAACAATCCACATTATCTGTTACAATTTATTGAATGATGCTTTAAAATATCACCAAGAGGAATCAAATAAACAGACTACTATTTGAACAAACAATATGGTTCATTATACTCATCTTCATACATCGGCTAACAGATGCAGTACATATTTTTATCAATAGTTTTTGTTACATGACACCTTTGTGTGCATGAGTACCAAACACAATAATTTTCTATTTGTGACAAGTGCTTTACCCATCCATTTGCATTGCCTCCTGGAAATGTTCTACGGCTGTCCATTTTGTAACATTGACATTGGGCCACTTATGATCTCTGTTAAACTCTGGATTTTGTTCTCCAAATTTCAGACGCTTCTCAAGTCCCAGCAACTATTTTATATGAAAAAAGTAGGGATTGAGGCAAACAAAACATATGTCAAGAGGACCAAAAATAACAGATAGTTACCGTAGTAGAAAGGTCACTCCATTTGACCCGAGCACCAAGCGAGTCCAATACTTGAATCTCTTGTTTTTTTAGCATTGACGACTGATAGATACCAATGGTACCAGGAATGTTAATAGGAAGAAATAGCTGGTGTAAATATCATATACGTCATAGACACAATTAGAAATAATGATAATAAATCATTATACACATGGATTAATTAGAAATAATACATCATTGTATGCATGGATAATAAGGTGAGACTACTCATATCTTGTTGTAGATAAATATTATCATGTTGTACGATGTGATGATATTTTGATGGGTCTGTCTTTCTTTGTCTTCTTTTATCTGGCCAGATATGAACATGCTAATACTATGTACCTTTTGACCTGCCCTGCCTCGTAGATGGTCGTGAGCAAGCATACAATATATAATATATGTAAGCATTTATCACTTGTAATTCCACATTACACACTTAGAATATATTTATGTTATTAGATATTATATATGGTTTTTATTATTAAGAACAAAGTTTATGCAATTAGTCTTATACCATCATGCAAGAATATATCATATTTTATAAAGCATTTCAACTCGTCATTTGATAACAAGACATCTCCGATGTCCACGGACTTGGTTTACTTAGGGGCGGACTGATAACCCACAGTATAGGGGATCGCAATAGTTTTCGAGGGTAGAGTATTCAACCCAAATTTATTGATTCGACACAAGGGGAGCCAAAGAATATTCTTAAATATTAGCAGTTGAGTTGTCAATTCAACCACACCTGGATAACTTAATATCTACAGCAAAGTATTTAGTAGCAAAGTAATATGGAAGTAACGGTAACGGTAGCAAAAGTAATATTTTTTGGTCTTATAGTGATTGTAACAGTAGCAACGGAAAAGTAAATAAGTGAAGAACAATATGTGAAAAGCTCGTAGGCATTGCATCAGTGATGGAGAATTATGCCGGATGCGGTTCATCATGTAACAGTCATAACATAGGGTGACACAGAACTAGATCCAATTCATCAATGTAATGTAGGCATGTATTCCGAATATAGTCATACGTGCTTATGGAAAAGAACTTGCATGATATCTTTTGTCCTAGCATCCCGTGGCAGCGGGGTCCTAATGGAAACTAAGGGATATTAAGCCCTCCTTTTAATAGAGTACCGGACCAAAGCATTAACATATAGTGAATACATGAACTCCTCAAACTATGGTCATCACCGGGAGTGGTCCCGAATATTGTCACTTCGGGGTTGCCGGATCATAACACATAGTAGGTGACTATAGACTTGCAAGATAGGATCAAGAACTCACATATATTCATGAAAACATAATAGGTTCAGATATGAAATCATGCACTCGGGCCCTAGTGACAAGCGTTAAGCATAGCAAAGTCATAGCAACATCAATCTCAGAACATAGTGGATACTAGGGATCAAACCCTAACAAAACTAACTCGATTACATGATAAATCTCATCCAACCCATCACCGTCCAGCAAGCCTATGATGGAATTACTCATGCACGATGGTGAGCATCATGAAATTGGTGATGGAGGATGGTTGATGATGACGACGGCGACGGATTCCCCTCTCCGGAGCCCTGAACGGACTCCAGATCAGCCCTCCCAAGAGGTTTTAGGGCTTGGCGGCGGCTCCGTATCGTAAAACGCGATGAATCCTTCTCTCAGATTTTTTTTATCCCCGAACACGAATATATGGAGTTGGAGTTGAGGTCGGTGGAGCAACAGGGAGCCCACAAGGCAGGGGGGCGCGCCCAGGGGGGCAGGCATGCCCCCCACCCTCGTGGACAGGTGGAGGCCCCCCTGACATTGATTCTTCTTCCAATATTTTTAATATTTTCCAAAAATAAGTTTCGTGGAGTTTCAGGTCATTCCGAGAACTTTTGTTTCTGTACATAAATAACACCATGGCAATTCTGCTGAAAACAGCGTCAGTCCGGGTTAGTTCCATTCAAATCATGCAAGTTAGAGTCCAAAACAAGGGCAAAAGTGTTTGAAAAAGTAGATACGACGGAGACGTATCAACTCCCCCAAGCTTAAACCTTTGCTTGTCCTCAAGTAATTCAGTTGATAAACTGAAAGTGATAAAGAAAAACTTTTACAAACTCTGTTTGCTCTTATTGTTGTAAATATGTAAAGCCAGCATTCAAGTTTTTAGCAAAGATTATAACTAACCATATTCA